GCGATTTGCGAGAGATGTATTAAAAGAAGAAGCCTCACTGGAGGGCATAAACCTCCTGGTTCTCCGCTCTGTGACAATCTGAGCTATTACGCAACAATCATTCACTAAAGTAAAAGCATCTTTTTATCTGATCTCTAGATCTACGCATGCTGTGCAGTGAAGAGTACGCCGTATTCAGTAGAGCTATTCAGTTTGCAGTCCTAAAACCTCTAGCCTTGATAATTAGCGATTTTGATCCATGGGGCTTTTAAAATAGCGATTTCGGATTTAGGCTATAATGTTAAACAAGTTCATTAAAGACAGCTTTGTTATTCAACATTAAAACCACACAGTCTGTTACCTCAAACGTACATTTTGAAGCCACTGCGTTTTTCAAGTAAATTGCGAAGTTCTTAATCAATCGGTCAACAGGTAGACTTGTTAGCGATTTAGGGGTTTTTAACTAAAAACGGAAAACATATGTTTTTTGGCCGTTAATTTACAGGTCAACGGAGTTTTGGGTATAGATAGTACATAGATGCCTCATTCGACAGCTCCAGGCACGTAGACACGTCCGCCATCTTGCAACGGTCAGCTTGACGTCATTCACCATAATAATCAATGAATATTCGAAGATGCCACAATCCTGCACAGCCGATGGTTGTAAAAACCGACGGGATTTAAATTCCGAAGAAACGGGATTACCTCACACGTGAGAATGCGAGAGTGGGGCGGAACCATATAGATATGGTAAGGACTGTGGCATCTTCGAATATTCATTGATTATTATGGTGAATGACGTCAATTTGATCCTTCCAATATAGGAGGGCTTATGTATGTATAGCGGCCCATAGAAACAGTTGCTAATGAGGCATCTACCTATACAAAGCCTATCTATGGTTTTTGGGGCCAGAAAATGCTAACTTTTGAAAATGGGTTTCGAGGTGCATTTTTAAAAATGGTTACCGGTATTGTGTCTCCGTGCAAACAAATATGCAAATTTGTGAAAAAGGTGACGTAATCATGCCGAATTATGCGTATTATGTGTTTGTCGTCGTCGTCTTCTTTCGGGTTTTATGGCGGTTAGCAACTCAACTTAAAGGTGCAGTACCACCACCTACTAGACTAGACTGGAGTATGAGCAGTAGAATGACATCAAAGGAAAATAGAGATGGGGAAATAAATAAAAAAATTAAAAGGTTACTTTCGTCAGGCCTGTGTGAATTTACAAAGTGACACCCAGTGTTGCCAAGTCTGCGGTTTTCCCGTGGAATTGGGCTACTTTAACACTGTCGCTGCAGGTTGTTTTTCATGTCCGCGGATTGAAGCGACCCCAGCAACGTGATATTTAGCCCCTGGAATGCAAATTTTACCAGGGGAACAATGCCAAAAAACAATGCCCCCCCCCCCCCCCCCCCCCCCCCCCCCCCCCCCAATCCGCTATACTACCAGAATACTACCAGAAAAATTATAATCCTAACCCTTAACTCCATACCGAAGTCAGACATTGAAAATATAAATAAATAAATATAAAATGATTTGTGTCTGGTACGCTGTGAGCACAGAGACTGTAGTGTACACTAAGTTTTTTAATGTTTAGCTTAAATGTGTAATATGAATAAACAGCTGTTGAGATAGTATTTTTATGTGAAACGAGTTGAGGCTTGGAGCCGGAAACAGCATTTCTTATGTCACGACTTAAGTGGATAGGGCTAGTTTTGAGGAACAATTGGGTGGATTTTGTTGTGAAAACCTGGCAACCCTGGTGACAATGTTTTCAGTTGACAGTTACAGCTGTGTTACAGCTGTGGTGGAGTATAATTCTAGTATAATTAAACTTTGTAGTTTAAGTTCTTGTTATAGCTGTCATCCTTGGTGTAAATGGCCTTTAAGAATCAGCTGTGGTAAAAACACAGCCAGTCATGGCTTGTTGTAGTAGAAATCACTTTAAAGATGTCACTCTTTCTATGCCCATCATGTATGAAAGGCCTGCAGTGCCTTCTGTACCAGCCCACCATTAAGCACATCGGGTGCTGTTGCGTCTGGCAAGGGGGCAGGTAACAGTGCCAAGTTAATCAGGAAGAGAGTGCCAGCAGTGTCACGCCCTGCACTCAGGGGCCTTGATAGATGTCCTGACCAGGGCTGCGGTGCCACTGTGGGGTGGTGGCAGAGCGTACGGGCATGTTTCAGTCGACATAAAAGAGAGGGGCCCATGTTTGAACACACATATGAGAGTGGGATGTCGTGTGCAACACACGTGCGGCTGTGTTGTACCCATGCCAAAAGATTCATTAGTTCATTAGATAGATCCATACACTCTGATGAGTGTGATGGGAAATTCCACCGTCAAACACAACCACTCCCTTGAGAAGGACAAATTGTGTGTTCAGGAGGGGCTCACACACACTCATATTGACAGTATGTGAGGGTCGAGATGCTGCCCTGTAGAGGGAGACGTACAAGCCGCGGCCTGTGATCTTTGATAGACGTACACGGCAAACAGCTGGTCAGTAATGGTCCATGTTGGCCTCTTTTCCTCTTCTGTGGACCTATTATCACCTTCACCCTACTACAGCACCCACAAACCCTTCTCCAGCTGACCTCATCAAAGTGGGACGATCTGCTGTGACCTCATCAGAGCTGGCTGACCCATGATGACCTCATCAAAGCAGGACGCTCCGTTGAGCTCAGAGACTGACGGCTTGCACTGACCAAAAGCGGGTGTGACACCGCTTTTACCGTTCAAGCGCTGGTGTGTACCTTACATTTCAGTTTCCACTTAAATAAGGGGCAACTTTGATCTCGACAACACTTTACTGTATAATAAGTTCCCGTTAGTTAACGTTAGTTAATACATCAACTAACATTAACAATGAGCAAAACATTTGTAACAGTATTTATTAATCTTTGTTAATGGCATTTAAAAAGCACAACTGTTCATTGTTAGTTCATATTAACTAACTCAGGTCCGTTAAATTACACACACACACACACACACACACACACACACACACACACACACACACACGTACTGTGTGTATATATATATATATATATATATATATATAGTACAAAAGTACAAATTGGGCTCGGGTGCAGGAAAAAACAACAACAACAGATGTCTGCACACTGAAATGACACCGTTTCGACCAGTCAGGTCTTCATCCGGCACAACTTTGGAAATTCCTTTTTCCACTAAATAGTATTAACAGATACAACTTTTGGTATTAATGTATTAATAAAAGTTGAAATTAACATTAGCTAAGATTAATAAATGCTTTAGATGCATTTCCCTTATAGTTCATGTTAACTGATGTAGTTAACTGATGTTAATAAATGTAACCTTATTGTAGCGCTACCTTAGTCTCAAATAAATGCAGTTTTTATAAGTCACATCCTACTGTTTGAGTACTTGCAGAAAAATGGTGAAAAATATTTTGTTGATTTGATTTGACACATTTTTCATGCTAGTTCACACTTTACAACAAACCGAACAAAATTTCTTCCGTTTTTTTTTTTTTTTTTTAGATCAATGTGAATCTGCGCAGCCCCTAATGGGACATGGTGATAGAAAAAAATATGAGATGGGAGGAAAAATTATATTTCAATGTTTTTGCAAAACTATTGTGTTCTCCCAAGAAACTCTTCATTCACTCACAAAAGCACTGAAATATAGTTTTTCCTCTCACCTCATATTATTTCCATCATAAAAATTTTGCGAGTGAAAGCAAACTTTCTAAGGGGATTGCAAAAGTTTTGCTTGATAATGCAAAAGCATTGAAATATAATTTTACTCCAATTTCTTTCTTTTCTTTTCTAACCATCACCATGTCCTTTTAGGGGCTCCATTTAAACAAGCCTTAAATGCATAGTTCATGCAAAGAATTATAATTCTTTCATTTACTCATCCTCATGTTGTTCCAAACCTGTATTTCTTTCTATATTCTGTGGAACACAAAAGAAGATATTTTAAAGAACAGTTTTTGTCTACAGAATGAAAGTCAATGAGGTCCAAAGCAACACAGTATTGACATTTATTGTATGGACCAAAAAAAAGTGTTCTGCAGAAGAAAGAAAATCATAGAGGTTCATAACAATACAATGGTGAGTAAATGATGACAGATTTTTCATTTGTTTTGGTTGAGAGACTTGTAGTGTGTAGTGAGTGACTGTGTTTTGTCTTTGCGTGGCAGTGTCGTCTAACCCTCGTAATGTGGACAGGGATCGAGTTTATGTTGAGTGAAAATGCCAGGAAACACAAAAGAGGTCTTAACTAATTTCCCCAAGCAAATCCCACCCTGCCTCTCATCACACACAAAGCCTCGATCCCAGACAAGCAGTCATCACCCCTCTGTCCACAATGGCATCCACCCACTACAAATCAGAGAGATAGAAAGAGAATAATAGAGTGAGAAAGACAGAAGTAGAAAAATAGATGGACTGGAAGAGAGAGTTATAAAAATGGCATCCCTCTGGAAAAAAAGAAAGACAATCGGGAATATGATTAGGAAAGCAGGAGGGAGAATTATGAGGGTGAGAACGAGGGATTCTGACCGGGTTGGCTGGAGAAGTTGGAACCCGTTTAAACAATGAGAGACGTCAGTCGAATGTTGTTTCTCATTGAGAGTTTGAGCGATGAGCCAGGTCATCACATCTCTCCACCTCATCCATCATTTCCCTCAAACAAACGAGTGCAGCGTGCATTCTTGCCTCCCTCCTTTCCCTTTCAGCCGCTTTTCTCTCTCTCTTGCAGTCTCTCTCTGGCTGCGGGACAGTGGATCTGTGTGCGAGTGATGACCGGGGATCAGACTCGCGCTGTGTCCGTCTGGCAGTGTGAACCAGATTTGAATGTGTCTCGGTGTGAAATAATACAAGTGGGTGTGTGAGGGAGCAGCTATCTAGAATTTTATTCTGTCTGTCTTTCAGAAACATGTGTGTCTGCGGCACATTGAGTGTCACTGCTTTGCAACGTCAAGTGGCATCAGCATATTTTGGTCTCGAAATTATGTGCTATTCAGTAAACAAACTACAGTTTGCAGAGAAATAAATACAACTTTCAAGATACACGGCAATAACATTGAGGACATCAACCAAGAAAAAAAGTGAGACAAAGCAACAAACGACAAGAGGAAAAAAAAAAATTAAAACATGGAACCCATGATTGTCTATAAATGAAAGACACACAAGGACGGTGTAGCTAAAGACTAGCATTCAGGCTATTTAGTGGTATCATTCGCCAACTAATGGAAAAGGTTACCGTGGAAATGATAAAATGCCCTTTACGCGAGTTCTACAGATTCAGTTCTTAAACTAATTTATTTTCAATTTAGAAAAAAACTAAAAACAAAATGCCTTTTCTAGCATTTGTTTTACAACCACTCTTCCAACTTCAAAAAGAAACGAACTAAAAAGAGCATGTTTTCGCACAAACTGGCGAGAAAGTGGGTTGAAGGTAATGCAGTGCTTTAATTTGACAGAACTTGAAAATAGTCACCGTCTCGCTCCGTACACCTTTTTTATTTTTTACATTTTTTTACAAGCAGCATCAGTGAGAGGTCTAAAGGTCACACCTTTTATGTGTATCTGTTTACATTTTTCAATTCCCAAACCCCTGGAGAATATCTTAAAAGAGAAACGCTAACCCCACGACCCCTCGCATAAGTTTGTAAACTTGTACGTTTCTGTACAAGACTTAAAGGAAACTGATAAAATGCTTGAAAAACACGGTTGTTTTGCGTGTCTGTATTTGCGTTTATTTGTTTGTGTGTGTGATGGCGTTAATTCTAAAGATATTTACAGGCCAGTAGGCGGTAATAGTTTGCGATCACATTTGTCTTGTGGAAGACTCTCATTTGTTACTCTTAGTAACCATCGGTTTTAGCGGACAAAACTCACAATCATGACACCGACTTTTCATTAGCAATCTCAAAAACTGTTCACCAGCTGCCACTGCTGTGCAAAACATTGGAACTTGGCAGAATAAATACAATTATTATTACGTATTACTACTATTGTCATCATCACCATCAAAATTACTGACACTAATATCATTCCTATAAACTGAACTCGATCAACAAGTCAATCGAACAGTCAATCAATCATTTGTTGGACAGTGAGCTGCTATGCACAGGATCTGGGTGTGTGTGTGTGGTGGAAGTGAATGAGGATCTGGGCACTTGTGCAGGTGTGAGTGTGGACCAGGGACTCTGGCAGAAGTGTAACACAATGTTAAGTTAGGTCACATGGTACATGGGCGTGTCATACGTGACTGAGAGACTGAATGGCGCTGGGTTCTGCAGCGCGGGCCAAGCTGTGCCACATCGGGGCATTATGGGTAGACGAATGGAGTGCATCCTTATCAGCTAGAGACAGCATCATAGCATATGCCTTGAAAAAGGAGAGATATACAGTTAAAAATACACCAACTATATTAATGGAAAATGTATTTTATAAAAACATTTATAATTATAATAAAAATAATAATGCTAATATTTTTGTTATTAATAATTAATCATATAAATAATAAAACAATAATGTTAATTTTAATACACAAATTGTATTCACAGAAAATGTGATACTTATTATTAATTATTAATAAGAATAATTTATTTACTAATAATAGCAATAATAATCATACAACTAAATAATAATAATAACAAAACTAAAATAAAATATTAGTAATTCAATAAGTAATTTATTTAAAGTTTTTATTTAATATTCTGGCAAATTTGATACTTATTAATTATTATTAATTAATCAAATGTATTACTGTTAATTAATTATTATTTAACCAAAATAAAATATCAGTAATTAAATAAGTAATTTATTTATATATTTTTAACATATTAATTTAACATTTAATATTTTAATAATAATATTGTTATTAATATCAATTAATAATACAATTAATAAAATAATAAATTATGTTAATTATAATACACAAACTATCACAGACGTTTTGATAATTGTTATTATTAATAATACTTTATGTATTACTACTACTAATTATTGTTCTTGTTTTAATTATTAATAACTGTAAACAGTAATAATTTTTTTCAAAGTACAGTTTTAAATTATAGTTTTAATTTTGTGCTCTATAAAGTTAGTATCCGACCAATTGTCATGGTAATACCTGTGACTTAGATTTCCTGTATAGAGGCTGCTTGATGCCTTCTTGAAGGTGGGCGGGACCAAAGCTGGTGACATCACTGTCGCTGAGGTCTCCATCCTCCACACTAAAGTGACGGATGTGATCCAGCGTGGAGAAACTGCTGTGATCTTCATCATCCTCATCCTCATTAAACCTGCAAATGATGCAGAGATTATTTTAAAAGATTAATTTACAACCAAAAAAATGAATGGATATAAAGATTCATTTACAACCCAAAAATGTAATGGATATAACAAGTTTTTTTTGTATACATACCTTCGTGGCGAGGATTTGCTATTCATCTCCAGATCATCTGGTCCCTCGAAATCGATGTCATCATTTATGTCATGATCCAGACTGCTAGGCACGCCGTCCCCGCTAGGTTTCCTGGCACTGTCGCTATGCTCCACCTCCTCTTCCTCTGCTCCAAGCCCCTCCCCTTCTTCTTCATCCAGGTCACGTGACCCCTGACCAGGCAGGGCTTTGTCGCCATCAAAATGACTGCCGTTCAGCCTACGGAGAACAGAGAGAATCATTTGCAATGACGTTATGCAGGCATGCATTTTTGACTGATATGCCGATCCCTGATTACAGAAAGAAAATCATTAAGCGCTGAAACCAAGTTCTGGTTGTCTCGAAAAAATAAACCACCTTAAAAAGCAGAACCACATGCCAATGCTTTCTAAATGAGAGGAAATGCTCAAAGAAAGAAGGCGAGTGTGTGTTGGAGAAAGAGACTGTTTGTCATCAGTTATGAGGGCCCCTGGTTGGCAGAAATGAGCCGCCCATTGGCAGGGCACTTAGACAGCAGGCCCCTGCACTTCCTCTCACTTATTTTCAGCTCTCTCTCTCTCTCTCTCTCTCTCTCTCTCTCACTCAAACAGCTCACATCTCCTCTTTCCCTAGTTTATTTTCTTCTTTATCTTCAATTCATCTAATAGGCCAAATATTTAGCTGACAGCCCATTTGGTGAGTGGAGAGAAGGAGCTGCCAAAAACAGCCATTTCCCCACAGAGACAGAGGCCAGCTACCAATAGCATATGCCTTGAAAAAGGAGAGATATACAGTTAAAAATACACCAACTATATTAATGGAAAATGTATTTTATAAAAACATTTATAATTATAATAAAAATAATAATGCTAATATTTTTGTTATTAATAATTAATCATATAAATAATAAAACAATAATGTTAATTTTAATACACAAATTGTATTCACAGAAAATGTGATACTTATTATTAATTATTAATAAGAATAATTTATTTACTAATAATAGCAATAATAATCATACAACTAAATAATAATAATAACAAAACTAAAATAAAATATTAGTAATTCAATAAGTAATTTATTTAAAGTTTTTATTTAATATTCTGGCAAATTTGATACTTATTAATTATTATTAATTAATCAAATGTATTACTGTTAATTAATTATTATTTAACCAAAATAAAATATCAGTAATTAAATAAGTAATTTATTTATATATTTTTAACATATTAATTTAACATTTAATATTTTAATAATAATATTGTTATTAATATCAATTAATAATACAATTAATAAAATAATAAATTATGTTAATTATAATACACAAACTATCACAGACGTTTTGATAATTGTTATTATTAATAATACTTTATGTATTACTACTACTAATTATTGTTCTTGTTTTAATTATTAATAACTGTAAACAGTAATAATTTTTTTCAAAGTACAGTTTTAAATTATAGTTTTAATTTTGTGCTCTATAAAGTTAGTATCCGACCAATTGTCATGGTAATACCTGTGACTTAGATTTCCTGTATAGAGGCTGCTTGATGCCTTCTTGAAGGTGGGCGGGACCAAAGCTGGTGACATCACTGTCGCTGAGGTCTCCATCCTCCACACTAAAGTGACGGATGTGATCCAGCGTGGAGAAACTGCTGTGATCTTCATCATCCTCATCCTCATTAAACCTGCAAATGATGCAGAGATTATTTTAAAAGATTAATTTACAACCAAAAAAATGAATGGATATAAAGATTCATTTACAACCCAAAAATGTAATGGATATAACAAGTTTTTTTTGTATACATACCTTCGTGGCGAGGATTTGCTATTCATCTCCAGATCATCTGGTCCCTCGAAATCGATGTCATCATTTATGTCATGATCCAGACTGCTAGGCACGCCGTCCCCGCTAGGTTTCCTGGCACTGTCGCTATGCTCCACCTCCTCTTCCTCTGCTCCAAGCCCCTCCCCTTCTTCTTCATCCAGGTCACGTGACCCCTGACCAGGCAGGGCTTTGTCGCCATCAAAATGACTGCCGTTCAGCCTACGGAGAACAGAGAGAATCATTTGCAATGACGTTATGCAGGCATGCATTTTTGACTGATATGCCGATCCCTGATTACAGAAAGAAAATCATTAAGCGCTGAAACCAAGTTCTGGTTGTCTCGAAAAAATAAACCACCTTAAAAAGCAGAACCACATGCCAATGCTTTCTAAATGAGAGGAAATGCTCAAAGAAAGAAGGCGAGTGTGTGTTGGAGAAAGAGACTGTTTGTCATCAGTTATGAGGGCCCCTGGTTGGCAGAAATGAGCCGCCCATTGGCAGGGCACTTAGACAGCAGGCCCCTGCACTTCCTCTCACTTATTTTCAGCTCTCTCTCTCTCTCTCTCTCTCTCTCTCTCACTCAAACAGCTCACATCTCCTCTTTCCCTAGTTTATTTTCTTCTTTATCTTCAATTCATCTAATAGGCCAAATATTTAGCTGACAGCCCATTTGGTGAGTGGAGAGAAGGAGCTGCCAAAAACAGCCATTTCCCCACAGAGACAGAGGCCAGCTACCAAACACACACACACACAAATATATGCCAGCCAAAGGAGCCCCATTAAGACTGATTCACTCGTTTTGTTTTGATTCTACTATTTCCTTGACTTAAAAATAGCAACTTCCTATCTGAACTTTAAAAACAGAGAGAAAAATTACAAATACAGAGAGTATGAGAAAATACAAGTCTGTGTGTACAAGATGTGCAATGAATGCCAGCCAAAGGAGCCCCATTAAGACTGATTCACTCGTTTTGTCTTGATTCTACTATTTCCTTGACTTAAAAATAGCAACTTCCTATCTGAACTTTAAAAACAGAGAGAAAAATTACAAATACAGAGAGTATGAGAAAATACAAGTCTGTGTGTACAAGATGTGCAATGAAAATCTGTCTGTCTGTCTATCTATCTATCTATCTATCTATCTATCTATCTATCTATCTATCTATCTATCTATCTATCTATCTATCTATCTATCTATCTATCTATATCCCAATCCATCCATCCATCCATTATGTCTTTAAGCAATAACATGTTTCCTCTAGGTTTCCTCTCTCACCTCTACACATCTATTTCAGATCTACATCTCCGTTCTACCCTCAGATTAGCGTAACTCTGCAGGGTGAGCCATATAAAGCCCTTTTCACATCTCGGATAATCCCTGAAATCACCTTCTCTCATCACTCCACACCCCGCTTATACTGCGAGAGAGAGAACGAGAGAACGAGAGAGGCAGCGATGGCGAGATGATGAAAACAGATCTGGTAATTAGAGAGAGCTGTGGTAATTTGTGGAGGATAAAGTACCTATCAGGAGCAGTCACTCTGACAGGAAACATTCAACGACCTCTGACCTCCTCTCCCACACCTACTTCCTGTTCACAAACACATGTTGGGACCAGATGTGGGACGCGTGCAATCACACACAGCCGATGTTGTAATGACTCTAGGATCTTTTTAATGAAACAATGAAGAAATCAAAAAACAATAAGCCTGTAAGATCTTTATCTGTCACACACACTGATGACCAGGTCAAACATTTAAACCGTCATCCAACCTGATGATCACTGCTGGGAAATGATCAGCGATAATTATCATATGCAGATGGCAAAATTCATGTACGCGCACGCAGCAAAAAGTCAACAGCGTTCTGCACGCGCTCGCAATCGGCCAATCAGTAATCACGTCCTGCTGGAGACCTGCCCTAATCTTTGCTCTTAAAAACCGCAGGCGACAGGCTAATGATTAACAACCGTACAGAATATACGTTCACATGTGCAGTTAATACACACTGCGATACCAGTCCGCTTCTTTCATGTAATGCTATTCACTTAGAGGTGAGGGTTAATGAATACGGCATGAGAAGTGTTGTGTTCAGTAATGTTTGTGTATAATAACCTCCAATCTGCCTGAGGCAACTAGCGCCAACTGATGACTGACAGCCTAATGGACACTCCGTTTGCGTGTGTGTGTGTGAGCCCACACATGACTATTTCTAATGTGAATATTTAAAATTTCTCATAGAAGTTCAATCTGTGGACTTTAGATATACATTGATTTGATAGATAGATAGATAGCCATGGTTCTGATGATGAGTGAGCTGTTTTACCCAATAAAAGTAGGTTTTTGTGTGTCAACGGTGTATTTATGAGTATGAGGAAGAAGATGGTGTTTACCCTTCCTCAGAGTGTGACGGAGATGTGGCGTTCTGTGCTGTGTTACTGATGAAGTTCCGTATTTCGTTAAAATACGAGTCCTCCTTGTCCTCTAAGATGGCACTACCACTGTCCAGCTCTGAACGGGGCGACGACATTGCCGTGCCTACACATAAAAGCAACATATTTTAGTATCTTTTGTGCGTATTAATGCAAATATTATTGATAAGGTTATTTACAAATGCTAAACATATAAATGGGTGTTTTTTTATGAATATATGTTTAGATAGATTTTTATTTAGTACACAATTTTTATATAAATGACATATATTTTTATATCAATTTAATTAATTTGTTTATTTATTTGTATGTCTGTATAAATGTGAGGATACCTGATAAATTACCGTTCTCATGCTTTTTGAGGTGCCGGTCCAGGTTGGTTTGCTGCCCGAAGCAGCGGTCACAAAGATGACATTTGAAGGGTTTCTCTTTGTTATGGATGTTACGGATGTGACGCTGAAGATTCGACGAAATACTGAACGAACGATCGCAGTACTTACATCTGTGGACACACAGACACATATGAACATAATTAGACAGTACAGTATTTACAATATACAGACACGAGAAATCAAACTCTCTCGTGTTATCCATCTCGCACACACGCAGGGTCCTACACACATGACTGAGTGGTCATGAACTCTTTGTCTCTAATCTTTGGCCAACTCAGTAACACTCAAACTCTCTCATCCACATCCTCCCTCTGCTCTGAAAGCGACTGCATGTGCCAAGTCTCTTCACGCAGAATTATCCGTATGATTACGTGATCATATCTTCCCCTCCACCGTAGAGTTGTGCACTAAACTGCGTCTCCCAGGAACCTGTTATCTCTCCCTCTCTCTCTCCATCTCGCCCCCCTTCAAATGCAACAGAAAAAATAGAAATTAAATTGCAGTTAAAGGCTGATCACTGGCTCGTTTAAAGCGCTGCCAGCACAAGGAGATTTAGGCTATCTGGAAAGTAACACAGCCCTGTACAAACCTCCCCTGTGGTCAGACGGACCACAAACGCAGTGTGTGCGCACGCCTGTTTCTGTGCAGTATTTTAAGACTCCCTGAAAGAGTCTGAGCCCCAAATACAGGCCTAATTACCCAGCTGCCTTTGCTGGCCTGCAGCTGTATGCCACTCATCACCTCCATTATTCATACACACTTCCTTCAGTCTCCCTTTGTGTCTGTCTGTCCTTCTCTCTTGTGGACGTCACCTCACTCTTACCCAATAACAATAACTGTGTATATCAAATACATGCAATTAAATATCCTATATATTCTAATTTATGCACACATTATACTGACATTATTGAAAAAATGTAACAAATAAAATGTATCAAATTATAAAATTGTGGGAGCAGTCAGCAGTACAAATACACTAACGTTCAAAAAGTTATTTTATTAATAATAATGATCACAATAAACAATTCTTCTGCAATATAGTTCATCATAGCTTAATGGTTTGTGTATTAATATATAATTCAACTGATGTCCTACATGCTATTTGCTAAGTATATGAATTACATCATACAGTATATATTAGTGTGTGTGTGGGACAATGTGTCACCTGTAAGGCTGCTCTCCCGTGTGTGTCCGTAGATGTCTTGTAAGGTTGGCCGAGCGTGGGAATATCTTGCCACAGTATCTATAGGGGAAGGAAACAGATCTCCAGGAACAATACTCAGCAATACACACACACACACACACACTTCCCAAAAACACCCTGCATTCCATGCTCAGTGCTGTCAACACTCATTAAACATCAAACAAATGTTTACTTAAACATCTTATTAATGATACAACAAAACACAAACAAAAGTTTTTATAAATATTACTTAATATTATTTATTATGCTTTCGTTAATCTTATATATATATATAATATTAGATTTGATATACTGCTATATTGGTATTCTTCATATATTAGACTCATATATTGACCATGTCTCACCTGACTGCTCTTTGGAATATCATTAGTGATGTAATGGTATGATTCATTAGTGTAGAGATTTGATTAACAACTGCTAAAACTTGACCAAATTGGTTGTATTCTTATTATTCCTTTTTCAGAATCAGCTGAAGTTCATCTGTTCACTGGTTCTCAAAACTGTTATCTTGTCCTGTCAGACTCTGATAAGAAAGTCATTAGAACTGGGACAATGGCACTGTCTGAGGCTGAAATATTCAAGACAGCCATTTCACCTATTGTTTCATTGTTTGTTTGACTGATTTACAGGTGCATCTCAATAAATTAGAGTGTCGTGGAAAAGTTCATTTATTTTTTTATTTAACTCAAATTGTGAAACTCGTGTATTAAATAAATTCAGTGCACACAGACTGAAGTAGTTTAAGTTTTTGGTTCTTTTAATTGTGATGATTTTGGCTCACATTTAACAAAAACCCACCAATTCACTATCTCAACAAATTAGAATACTTCATAAGACCAATAAAAAAACATTTTTAGTGAATTGTTGGCCTTCTGGAAAGTATGTTCATTTACTGTACATGTACTCAATACTTGGTAGGGGCTCCTTTTGCTTTAATTACTGCCTCAATTCGGCGTGGCATGGAGGTGATCAGTTTGTGGCACTGCTGAGGTGGTATGGAAGCCCAGGTTTCTTTGACAGTGGCCTTCAGCTCATCTGCATTTTTTGGTCTCTTGTTTCTCATTTTCCTCTTGACAATACCCCATAGATTCTCTATGGGGTTCAGGTCTGGTGAGTTTGCTGGCCAGTCAAGCACACCAACACCATGGTCATTTAACCAACTTTTGGTGCTTTTGGCAGTGTGGGCAGGTGCCAAATCCTGCTGGAAAATGAAATCAGCATCTTCAAAAAGCTGGTCAGCAGAAGGAAGCATGAAGTGCTCCAAAATTTCTTGGTAAACGGGTGCAGTGACGTTGGTTTTCAAAAAACACAATGGACCAACACCAGCAGATGACATTGCACCCCAAATCATCACAGACTGTGGAAACTTAACACTGGACTTCAAGCAACTTGGGCTATGAGCTTCTCCACCCTTCCTCCAGACTCTAGGACCTTGGTTTCCAAATGAAATACAAAACTTGCTCTCATCTGAAAAGAGGACTTTGGACCACTGGGCAACAGTCCAGTTCTTCTTCTCCTTAGCCCAGGTAAGATGCCTCTGATGTTGTCTGTGGTTCAGGAGTGGCTTAACAAGAGGAATACGACAACTGTAGCCAAATTCCTTGACACGTCTGTGTGTGGTGGCTCTTGATGCCTTGACCCCAGCCTCAGTCCATTCCTTGTGAAGTTCACTCAAATTCTTGAATCGATTTTGCTTGACAATCCTCATAAGGCTGCGGTTCTCTCGGTTGGTTGTGTATCTTTTTCTTCCACACTTTTTCCTTCCTCTCAACTTTCTGTTAACATGCTTGGATACAGCACTCTGTGAACAGCCCGCTTCTTTGGCAATGAATGTTTGTGGCTTACCCTCCTTGTGAAGGGTGTCAGTGATTGTCTTCTGGACAACTGTCAGTTCAGCAGTCTTCCCCATGATTGTGTAGCCTAGTGAACACAACTGAGAGACCATTTTGAAGGCTCAGGAAACCTTTGCAGGTGTTTTGAGTTGATTAGCTGATTGGCATGTCACCATATTCTCATTTGTTGAGATAGTGAATTGGTGGGTTTTTGTTAAATGTGAGCCAAAATCATCACAATTAAAAGAACCAAAGACTTAAACTACTTCAGTCTGTGTGCATTGAATTTATTTAATACACGAGTTTCACAATTTGAGTTGAATTACTGAAATAAATGAACTTTTCCATGACATTCTGATTTATCGAGATGCACCTATATATATATACATATATATATATATATGAAGATTTTATTACATTCCACAATTTTTTTTCTGTCCTAAAAACCGGTGTTTTAATTTTCCTGATATTTACAGGTTTTCAATGATGGGAGATTTAGTCTTCTGTGGTAAATATATGAACAATTCACTTCAGAAGTGAACTCTTTTCTTGCTTGTTGTCAAGAAAAAGACCCAATAGATCTACTTTTGCATTTCAAAAGAGACCTCAACAATGTCACAAACTGTGCTCAGTTTTGCCAAGACAAAGTCAAGTCACCTCAGTCTTTTCCAAATTATGATATTTGTTCATATTATGGTTACATGCAATTAAATATCCTATATATTCTAATTTATGCACACATTATACTGACATTATTGAAAAAATGTAACAGAAATAAAATGTATCAAATTATAAAATTGTGGGAGCAGTCAGCAGTACAAATACACTAACGTTCAAAAAGTTATTTTATTAATAATAATGATCACAATAAACAATTCTTCTGCAATATAGTTCATCATAGCTTAATGGTTTGTGTATTAATATATAATTCAACTGATGTGCTACATGCTATTTGCTAAGTATATGAATTACATCATACAGTATATATTAGTGTGTGTGTGGGACAATGTGTCACCTGTAAGGCTGCTCTCCCGTGTGTGTCCGTAGATGTCTTGTAAGGTTGGCCGAGCGTGGGAATATCTTGCCACAGTATCTATAGGGGAAGGAAACAGATATATATATATACTGTATATATATATATATATATATATATATATATATATATATTTTGTAGGAATCACGATAATAAAGTTATCAAAGATTCTTTTGGCCCTGATAATCCTATAGTGAAAATCTGATACTGAGACAGCATTAATACTAATGTTATTCATACATAGTGAAACCACTGTACTATAAAATGAAGTTTATAATTAAAATGCGTTTTGTTTGTTTATTTATGACATCATTTTTGTATTAGTTTAATTACTAGCAGCAGTTGTTTGTTTAGTTTCTATCCAATTTGCTTAGGTTTGGTCATTTACTTCCTATATAATCCTTTTTAGATTTGTTTGTTTAGTTACTATACAGTTTTCTTAGTTTTATTGTTTATTTTATTAAGATATGTTTGTTTAGTTATTTGTTTTGTTTCACTCGTGCTATTCGAAAAGTAGATAATTCAAGAGTTTTTAATAAGATATGTTCATAATGTGCTAGGAGAAAGTGAGTGTTCATCGGCATTGTTACCTGCAGGTGTAGCGCTCTTTGCCTTTGCGTAACAGTGTCTCAGGAAGGGTGGTGGGCGGAGCCCGGAAGTCGAACATGGAGGGAACGGAATGCATGATGTCACCGGCGTCTGGCTTCAAAGAGCCAAAGGATTCCAGCTTTTCGGCCATATTTTCGATCGCCGACATCTGTGAGAGATAGAGAAAAGTTTTATTACCTCACTGTGAGGTCTTTTAGGGCACACATCCCCACTGTGTTACTCGCATTTATTGATGTGGAGTTGCATTCTACCACAGATGTGCAGGGCAAAATGTTGACCGTGAACTTTCACTCTGGGATAAGGGTGTGAAATGCTTTCACTGATTTGTAATGTTCCATTTTGGCGGACAAACTCAACTAACAATGCACGTTATAAGATGGACCACACATGTGCGCACACACAGAGATTCAAGCGGATAAGATCCGCTGCCAATTTACTAATTAAGCCTAACAGTTGCTTTCATCAGAAATGGACACACTCTCAAAGGGGATGGAGCTACATGTGTGTGTCAGCCAGAGAATGAGAACAACATAAGGCCTGAATGTGTGTGTGTGAAGAGCAGAAGTGATTCATGTCCTATGTTGGCCATAAAGCATACAGTGCACAATATGAGCAGACAGCACATTCGTCAATATGAAAGATGTTGACATTACTGATCAAGGCTGAGACAGCAGTAATAATGATATCATAGGAAGGAGAGGGAGAGGACGGAGCTGGGGAAAGGGGGGGGGGGTCCCTGTACACGAGCGGGCCTATCAACCGCAGCGCAACAGTGAGGCCTTTCAGAAAGCTGAGTGGATTTGCATTATTTCATGTGTGTATTGAATTTTCCCCTTTTCTTGTTTCGGGTTTTGGTGACAAATCAGTCCTGATTCACAGTGAAGGACATACATGATACACACACACATGGACTTGCATACATAAACACACAAAGAAATGTCTGTTTCCTTCCGCAGCAAATATTCTAAGAAAGTTTTTAAGAAAGAAAGACGTTTCTTCTGGACAGCAATGAAGAGTCAGTGGGGACTTGTGCTTGTCAAGTCTCCAGCTCCTGCTTGATCTCAAATTGCACTCAGACTTTCTGTATCCCGATCCAAGATCTCAAAATAAACTCAAACATTTCTCATCAAGCTCCTCCAAGACCAAGTAATCTGTTCTGTTATGTAGGAAAGAACGGAATATACACAAATGGTTGTTGACATACAAGTAAATTGAATGTTGATAAATACAGATGAGAGTTCACAGTGAGATCTTTGAATTTATTTTGCAGATATGAGATGGATTGCATGTTTTCTTAGAATAAATATCAAAGAAAGAAACAGGATAAATCTTTACAATTACAAGTATTATGCTAAAGGAGAGGACAAAGAAAGAGGCACTGAAAGAGAGAAAGATCGACGTAAGATAATTCGGACATTTGATGAGGAATGACAGCTTGGAGTTAAAGTTCTCTATTGGAATGTCAGGCTCACATCCTCTGGGAGTGTCAGAGCTGTTTGATTAGGGATACCCCCAACTCTCTCTCCCTCTCTCTATAAATCACAGACAGAGAGAAGGAGGGAGAGATGGACAAAGAGATGTGTTGAGGACAAGTAATGTTATGTCAGTATTTAAAATTGCTTTGAATTTGGTTAATGTGGTGAACTTATTTTAAAGCAGCTGTAAGCAGTTTCTATACCATTAGTGGCACTAAACCAAATTACTTTATTGCAAAAATAATGATATGTTATTGCAATGTTATTTTGTGAGTAAAGTAAGATGTTTGACAATTCTGCACACCACCTTTCTGTAACACTGGTGGGAACTACAAAACTGTGTAGAAATAACTGATGAGAAAGCTTTCAAACTGGTCACGGTGCACATGCAGTACTTTTTATTTGCATTTGAGTCTGGAACATGCATGTTTGCTTTAACACTGACTGCAGAAGCACAGAAAGAGGCAACTGAAAATAGACTAATGATTTTTGCAGGACTGTAGGGATGAGGTGATAAAATAAAATTGAGTTAGCAGTGGGAAAATATTCAGACAAATCTCACCTGTGGGTGGAAGAGAAATCCAGGAGCCGGCCGCATATACTTGTCCTTGAGGACTTCGAAAGGATTGTTCATCTTTCTTTTCTCAACCCTGCTGATATTAAACTTCTATCAGTTCTCAGGGCAAGTTTAACCAAACTAAGTCTATTCCATTACACTAACACAGTAGGAAGGACATGTGATTGACAGTACCTGTAAATGGGATCCATGAAGAAAGGTGTAGGTCTTGCATGTTGGAGTGAAGGGTCGGCCTTAGGTGGCTCCGGTTCTACCCTCTCCTCACCAAAGACAGGGTTCTTTTTTAACTCCTCCCCTCTTACACTCTTTCTTCGACTTCGTCCACCAAGACTTAGGTCCAGCGGTTGATCCTGATTGGCTGATTGTACGTGTGAGGCTTCCGGTTTCAAAGGGGTGCAGGTAGCTGCAAGACGTTCTACCTTCCGCTTGGTGGTGAGGTCAAAAGGTGATTCAGCGTTTCTGCCCAGAAGTTTTTTACCCTCAATCAGAGGGCTTTCTGGTTCCCCTTTGTGGCCTGGAGGTCTAAGTTGCTCCCTTTCAGGGAACGGATAGACTGATGGAGAGAAGGCAGGAAAGAAAGACAGAGGGAACATGGAAGGGTATGGCAATGCCCCAACTTTTTTGTCTTGCATGCCTGCAAGTCCAGTAGAACCAAAGTATTTCTCAGCAATGGAGGCAATTGCCTTTATCGAGTCATTAACGGCACCGGAAACAGCCGTTTGCTCGTCCAAAGATGATGGAAGGAGCCCCGGCACAGGGAAGTCTTTTCCATTATTGGTGTTGCTACTACTACTGGAGCTGACAAGAGTTGGGCTTTGGGCATCATTGAACCCACTTGACTTCCTTTTCGGGCCCTTCCCGTTCTCCCGCACTCGCACCCGTTCCCGGTCGCTTTCTGCTTCGCTGTCCAACTCTGAACCTGAAGTGCTTTCCAGCTCACTCCCGCTCGGAGTGCTGACGTCGTCCAGATCGCTACTCTCCGACTGGTCACTCATCTTCCTGCCGTGCCTCGGTTTGGAGACAGATCCTTCCCTCTGACGCTCCATGCTCTCACTCTCCCCGTTGAACGAATCCTTGTGTAAACTCTTCAAGAGGTCATGCGACCCAGAGATGGGTGAGGACAGCAGCGGACTCTTTCGTAGTTCACCACTCAGAGGGCCGCTAATGGGTGACGTGGATGGGATTATAGGGGGCCGGTGGTAAAGTCCTGATGGGAAAAGCCCTGGAAAACTGAATGGGAATGCTGGAGGTGCTGCTGGGAATGTCAGTCCACCATGGTGCCGGTTCGTCCCAAAATAGTCTGCTAAACTAGGACTCCCATGGCTCATTCCAGCCAGTGCGGACTTGTCTAGGCCAGGGGTGCCAGGGAGGGCCACGCCCTGGGCAAAAAATCCTCCGGCAGCAGCAGCAAAATGATTTTTACCCTCACAGAAGCGCCGATGCTTGTTTAGGGACGACGTGGTGCTAAACATCTGGCCGCAGTCTTTGCACTTAATCTGAGTGCGACAGTCCGCGTGCATGCGCTTGTGGCGGCATAGATTGGAGAATTGTGTGTAAGATTTGTGGCAGACCTCACCTAGAGACAGTGAGACATGGACATACGGCGGAAAAGGATGGTCAGTTTAGGCATGCCACACATACTGAACATTCATTCAAAAATGCAAACAAAACAAAAATGCAGGACAAGCAAGGATGGCAGATAAAAGAATGCAATGTCAAACGCAGGTGCACACACACACACACACACACACACACACACACACACACACAGACAAGGGCATCACAATGGCTCTATTTTAAGCGTGAGAAGGAAACAGAGTTGAATGAATCCTCTCCCGCAGGTCCGTTCCCATGGACCTAGCGACGTCTCTGTCTATCATAAACACACACATACATCTCACATCATTACACAATATTCAGTCGTCAAACAACATTCTTAAAACTCATGATGAATCCTAAACTCTTGCTGTTCATGTCACTGCACACACACTCAGTCCTCACAGCAGTGTATACTGTTAAATCCCTAATGCACACTCTGAAAGTGATAAAATCACCCTATACATTACCAATCTAACACCTCTAGTGTGAAATGAAGCCTTTTAACCACTCGCATTTCTCATCATAATCACATATCCTATTGCAAACGTAACGTTTTCAAAATTTATGGAAGTTAGGGAGTCTAGCGGTGTGGGTTTGCTAATCCCTGTTGGATTGCATGAGGTGTGAGGTGCGGAAAGAGAGGATGTTCTACCATGATGTGTGTTTACAGAGTCGGTCACTCAAACAGACTGATCAAGAGATGGGATGTAAATATTAGTGCAGGGTAAAAGGATGACTTAAAAGGTTAGTTCTCCCAAAAATGAAAATTCTGTCATGTACTCATGCACTCACCCTCATGTTGTTCCAAACTCGTAAGACCTTTGTTCATCTTCAGAACACAAATTAAGATATTTTTGATGAAATCCGAGAGCTTTCTGACCCTCCACAGACTGCAACGCAACTGAAACGTTTTATGGTCCAGAAAGCTAGTAAGAACATCGATAACATAGTCCATGTGACATCAGTGGTTCAACCTTAATGTTATGTAGCTACGAGAATACTTTTTTTGTGCACAAAAATAACGACTTTATTCAATAATTTCTTCTCTGTATATTGTATATTTGACTTTTGTGTTTGAAATGCTTTCAGTTTTGGAACAACACAAGGGAGAGTAATTCAGTAATTTTTCATTTTTGGTGAACTATCACTTTAAGAGTTCATGGTGGGTTTTTTTGTTCACACACATACTGCTTGGATATCGTACATTCAGGAATACGCACATACGCACACACATCGCTTATATAATTGTGAACAACTGGACACACTTGGATGAACAGGTGTGAAATCTGGGGCGTGTGTGAGGGAAGATCTGTGGGCACTTCAGAGCACTGTGTTTTGTCAGGTCTTAATAAACCATAACGAAATATTATAAACACATTCCGCAGTGGTGGACAGCCAGTAGTAAAACAAATGTGTATGAGTGTTTATGTAAAAGAGAGATTTTCTCTTTTAGTTTAGCATAATTAACAATATTTTTGTCAGTGTTTGTTTCAGTAACACATCTAGAATGAAGTATATGAACACATACATGCAAACGAAGACACAAGTGAGTTTATGGGTCTGTTTCAAAACCTAGAGAGCCAACTCACTGTATACTGCCTTCTAAGGGGTCATCCTAACTGAGTTGAAACCTCATAAGTGACTAATTTGGAATGATGAAACTAAGTATAATTTGACTGAATTATATTTTATCAATACTTTTCAGTATTGAATTGAAATGTAAGTATGTTAACAAATTATAAAAATAAGACTCAATAAGGCTCACTTGGTTACAGAGTGAATATTTGCCTGTGTATGCATCAAAGTGCATGTGTGTGGTGTATTTCGGTGTATGTGTGATGTTGCGAGGTCATTAAGTGTTGTTAGCTGTGCTTGTTCAAATGCTGATTGCTGTAAATGGCTGTCTAAGTCTCTGTATGAGTCGGCCTGCATGTGGTAGTGATTTTCCTGGAATGGCCAGAGTTAGCAAGCTAGTTACTGTCTGATATGTGGTGGTGGGGGGAGGTAACGTCTACACGAGCTGTGTGGGATCAGCACTTCAAGGGTCAATGCATGAAGTTCAATCGTGCAAAGTTCAGAGGTCGCAGTACGGTTTAAGACGTTTAAATCGTTATGAGGGGCAAGTGAGCTCTTTATGCAGGATGAGATTAAGAATTGAGGTCATTCACGTATGAGGTCAGAGGTCATGCATTGAAATCAAGAGTGCAGAGGTGGTGTACTGACATGCATTGAAAGGAAATGTAGGGTAAATTGTGCGTTTCAAAGATTGATAGGATTATAAGAACATGACTATGCTGGTATGTACTGTATAATATTGTCAGTAACATTTACTCTAGGTTTGACTGAAAATCAAAAGAGTCAGATGTTGGAAATTGAACCATCACACACCACAGCATAAATGGAGTGTACACGGATAGAGACAGCACACTTACAAACACACACATGCACAGTCAATAAATGCAGTACATCAAATATAATAGCCTGTAAAAGAAGCAGTTTTAGGTTATAGCAAATAAACACAGAGTAACAAATTTTTTATTAAATTAAAGATTAATATTCATTAATATTAATGTTAATTAGATACACATAATAATAATAATAATAAACAATGACATACTAATATAAATTATTATTAATAATACTACTAATAATTGATATATAATATCAATATAATTTTCAGTTATTGGTCCTCAGTACCTCATGTTAAAGACAACATGAAATCAAAATTGACCCTATTTTATTCTTAGCACATATTCCTGTTCTTAATGTGCATGATTTATATATATATATATATTAGTGCTGTCAAAAACAAAAGTTTGTTTACATAATATTTGTGTGTACTGTGTATATTTATATGTGTATATAAATACACACATATACATGTATAAATGTAAGAAATATTTACATGTTTATATTCATAATTATATATGATTTATATTATATATAAAAATAAATATATATATTACATTTATTTCTTAAATATATACACGTATATGTGTGTATTTATATTATAAATATACACAGTACTGTAAAAACACAAATATTATGTAAACACAAACTTTTATTTTGGATGCGATTAATCGATTTGACAGCACTAATATATATATATATATATATATACACTAAATCTCTAAAACAACCTCACTTCTCTGACTGCCACTTTTCACAGTCCAATAAATTCCAGACAAATATAATTTTTTTTCTACCTAAATATTCAGTTTTTCTGTGAAATGTGTCACATTTTGGAAGTAAAATGGGTTGCAAATGCTGTTTCATGTTAACTTTAAAAAGTGCACGATAAGGATTATAAACAGATCTAACATCAACATAAGTGCCTGATAACCCAGGCCAGCTGGAGAGCTCCACCAGCCTCAAAAACAGATTTGAATCTATTTATATTTATTCATTTGGTGGACGCTTTGTATCCAAAGCAAGTTACACTGCATTGAAGGTATACTTGTCTTTAAATACCAGTTGAGCAAATTAGAAAGTGGAGTGGACCTATCTTCAGATTCAGAATTTGGTGGGAATTTCAAAAGGACGCTGGAGCTCTCCAGCTCTGTGGTGTGGTGTTCAGAGTAGAAAGCATGCAGACTTACATATGAAGGGTCTGAGTGACTTACATATGAAGGGCTTGACGGAAGCGTGGATGTGTTTGTGTTGTTTAAGGCCCGAGGAAGTGGCGAATGTCTTGCCACAGTCGGGGCAGGCGTGAGCTCGCGCCCCCATGTGCTGAGAGCGGATGTGCCTCTGTAAGTTACTTGGGTCTGTGAACACCTGCTGGGTAAAGACAGAGATATAGGGACAAAGTTTACATACACAGCCTACTGACAGCGTGATATATTGGAGTGGATCTCAACTGGTTTTGACTGGACATCAAAGTGGCAATCCAAAAGTACCACAACTGATTATTGTACAAAAGTAAACAAAAACGTGGTTGTAAACAAACACTGACATCTATAGGTTCATGCTTATGTATTTGCTCAAACTGGACGTACAATCTTTGAAGTCAACAACAAAGATTGTTCTCATCCATTTTTATGTTGATAAGGCTATTTGTTTTGCAATCCTAACTATACATGATTATAATGTCAGTCGCTTTTTATTAATTGTATTTATCACCGTATTTTCCATGATGGAATTACTGTTGGTAACAGAAGCTGAGCTACAGTAAGAGATGCCAGTTTTTGCACACGTCTTTTCTAATGTCTGGACTCTACCTTTGAGCAGTTTTCACATTCATAATGCTTGCCGCTGTCATGTGACATCTGGTGGCGAATCAGGTTTGATTTCCAGTTGAATGCCTTTGGACACTGATCACACTTATACTCCCTCTCATCGGAGTGAGACAGAGAGTGAGTGTCCAGACTGAGAGACAGACAGAAAAAGAGAAAGACAGAATTATCAGATTTTATTGTGTTTCTTGTTTTGGTAGAAACATGTATATAAAAAAAATGAAAATAATGTTTGAGTTCGGGTCAGAGTTAGCCTGTAGTCATAGAAAAGGGACTACAGTTGAAATGTAGCATAACATAACATAACATAACATAACATAACATAACATAATAGTCATAGAAAAGGGACTACAGTTGAAATGTAACATAACATAACATAACATAACATAAAATAGAGTGTTCTAACCTAGATTAAATGTAGCTTTAATCTAATTCTGTTACACTATTTATCTTGGGAATTGTCCCTGAAATATAACATAACATAACATAACATAACATAACATAACATAACATAACATAACAACAACATAACATAACATAACATAACATAAAATAGAGTGTTCTAACCTCTGGGCATCAGGAAAGACCTGCTCACACTCCTTACACTCCTGTGGGAAGCGGGGTAAGTTCAGGGGGTGAGTGTGTAAGTGCAGCAGATCAAGATCAGGATCGTCTGCGGTGCTGGGCAGACCCTGCTTAGACAGCTTGAAGCCGGAGGAAGGCGGGGTACCGCATGCATGCTTCTGATGGTCCAGCAGCTCTGAACCAGACTCAAAGTTCAGGTCACAGTCCTCACAACGGTATTGACGCTCCTCTGCAACAACAAAACGAGTGAGTTAGCAAGTGTGTGTTTGTGTGTGTATGTTTGTGTGTATGAGTGCTAACTCACCGTGTATGTCTGGAGCCATGGTCTCACATGAAAACTCCTCAGCCTTCATGAACAGTAAGAGTTCCTCACCCGGCTGGACCTCTCGGACCACACGGTAAAAGATCTAGAGAGAGAGAGGCAGACATTTAACATGGGACAGAATACTGATACACTACTGTTTAGTGTTTACTATTTTAGTTTTTTTTTTTGAAGAAAAGATATTCAGCAAGGATGCATTCAGCAAAAGCCAAAGTAAAGTCATCTACAATGTTACCAAAGTTTCTATATTAAAAAATATTATGTAAATTCATAAGCCAAGTTGTTCGAAAACATACTATGTTCTATTCAACATAAACTTTTTGATGAATTTTGTTGACTATTATCTCATAAAAAAAACAAACTCGATCAACTTTACACCACTAACAAATCAGATTTTAATGTCAGTTCAGTATTTTATTTTATGACCATTACAACTACAGATCCTCAGCATTCCAAATGATGTAACTGTCTATATTTTTACGAGCATGTGAAATAAAAAAGAAACGACAATACATTTTGATGGACAAACAATGATGGGAACCTGAGCTTGAGCATGTGTGTTTGAAAGAGACGGTGTTAAAGAATCCGAATGGAGACCTATCTGTTTGACACACACACACTTCCTGCGTGAACACAATAGGTAGTGGGAGAAACCCAGTTGTGTTATTTGGATAGTGTTATTTTTGGCAAGCCTTGAAGGCATTAGACGGCTCACTTCCTGTTCAGTCCGGTGGTGACATTTGAGCATTCTTATTAGAGATGTCACACAATCAGAGAGACACGCACAAAAACCCCTGATAATATGATAAAGGCAACAGTGAGATGGAGACCCCTTGGAAACGCCATGGTCTTTATGTGTGTGTGTGTACAAGACCCAGCAGGCTGTGGGGGACACGGAGGGACCGAGTCCTGCTCTATTGTTTAACAGGAGAATACAGGGAACTAACAGGACCCTCAAGACAACATGAGAATGGAGTCTCTCTCACACACTTTCACGGCCCGTCTACCCCTTCTGGTGCCTTCCTGCAGATCTCTGATATCTTGTACTTGTAATGTCACAACCGAACCTCTTTCTGTGAGTGTGTGTGTGTGTTTTTATCGCACAAAGACAGGGAGCAAAGGGCCACAATAATATTGTGAGTACGAGACAAAGGCAGAGCTGTTCAAACGCGGTGTGAGGGGCCATGGGGTGAATGATACGGGAACACACACTCATACAACTTGTTGGTCGAGGACGCAGCAAGCCAGCCAAGCTCAGAGATCAGGGGAGTTTACTGGGCATCACTCCTGGCAACCCATTCTGGGCCGTGGTCTGATTCTTCAGTGCCAAGGGTGAGTGCCAACCTGCAAGTCTTTTTTAAGATGCCACAGAAGTGTGTGTGCACACGCTCACACACACTGTTCTGAGGATGAATGCATATTATCAGGAGGACTTTTGAGTGCTTTCCACAACAGAACGTTAAATATCAGGACAATGTTACTACAGCTAGCAAAATTACTAGATATGAAAAATTCACTCTGGATGTTTAAATAAAGTATAGTATATAGTAAATCTACTATAACTACTAACTAAATAAATAAATCCATGGACGTTCCAAAAGGTAAAAATAAAAAAATAAAAAAAATAGCTTAAAATAAAATAAAACAAAACTAAACTAAATAAAATAAATAATAATACTCAGTCACTCAGTCACTCACTCACTCCCTGGGTGTTCCCAAAGGTAAAATGAAATTAAGTATATGCATATAAATACATATATAGAAATATGAAAATAATAAAATATGTAATATAATGTAATTAAATTTAATATAAAAATAAACATTAAATATACTAAAAAGAAAATAAATAAATAAATACACACACATTGGAAGAAAAAAATTATAATTTTTAATCATTTATTTTTTTAGGTGATGCGGTTTTGGTTAGTCTGTACGCATAATTATCTTTATGGTACGTCCTCATTGGAAAGCTAGGTAAATATGTGAATGTGTCTGGGTTAGGATGTCTGGCCGTTTCAGGTTAACTGATAAGTGAAGGTTGTAAACTTATTAACTTTCAGTGGCTTATAATAACACATTGACCCAGACCTCAATGCACATTTTGACCCATACTGAACCACAGAAGACAAATCAAACGTTTATCATCAGGACTTATCTTTCCAAGACTTTAAGATACACAGGCACTTGCACTTGACTTTGAGGGCACTGAGAAGTGCACTAGATAATTGTTACCTTGACTTCTGCTATTACTGAAGCAAACAGTCTAAGACTTTCCTCTCCAAGTAAGAGAGGTCACTTCATATTACAAGCACCGCACACACATACACTCACATAGCTCGGCTCTATTGTGTAAGTGTCTATGAGAAACGGATGTTAGTCCACTGATGTCCTGATAAACAGGTCCATTAGATCCTTCGTTCAGCACTGTAGGAATGAAAATCACTCTCACACAGACCAACGCCTCACACTGAAATCCCCCTTTCCCCTTCCCCAGGTTCAGTGTAAAGGTGACGAGTGATAAGCTGGAATAATCAGACGATCAGCGTTCCTTGTGTCCAAGTTGATCAATATCTGTCCAGCCATGGATTTTCTTCATGCTAATTGTTCTAGGTAACGTTTAACAAAGAATATTTAAGTGTTAAACAGCTAAATCAAAATTATGAATCTAGCATTTTGTTTCACACCGATTTTCTTGTTTTCTCCCAGTTTTAAATAACAATAATTAAGCTTTAAATAGCAACACGATCAAAATCCATCCAACAATTCTAGATAAGACCTTAAGGAATAAATTAAAGAAGGCTGTCAGTGCAAAAAAGAGCAGGACTGGAAAAAGAAGAATGCATTCTTTTACCTCCACGCAGCCAAAATCTATTCTTTATGAAAACTGATAACGGTCAGTCTTTTGTATCTCTCTCTCCAGGTTTTGTCGCTATAAGGAGGTACAGCATGATTATAAAAACATGTGTGATGCCGGAAGCCATAAAGTCTAAGCCCAACTCTTTGTTATGACAAGGTGTCATAGTTGAACAATTATGTCGCATATCATAATGCTGTGTCTGAACAGGTTCTCTTCCTCTCTTTCTCTTAGTTTCTCTTTATGTAAACCTTTAGAAAAGTAAAATATTTAGAAAATCTAGACCCAGCTTCTTTATTACTCATCAAATATCAAAATTACACTTTAGATTGAGAAACGTTTGGATTTGATTCTTCTAGTGGATCTCACATTTTGTAAAGTTGAATATGGAAAATACAATAGGCCTGTTTAACATTTAAATGAATCCTCAACATACGTCATTTCATTTGAAAAGGCCGACTGGTGCTTCAAGGGTTCTTTTGTTATCTGTAGACAGGCAAACGGTAAGTTCATTTCATAATGACTGGGTTCACTGAATATCTCACTGTGCGATTTGGGATCTCCAAAATAATCCTGATAGCATGAACTGATCACGTGATTATTGTTTAGTTAGATTTAGCTTGCTGTGCTGTGTAGTGGTTCAAGAAAGCACGACAAAACTTCAACTCAACCCAATCCAACCCAGCTAATCTCCACTTAAATCTACTTAGTCCAGATCAATGCAGTCTGAATTTGATCCAGTCCATCTCTACCTATCTCAGTTTATTCCAGTCCGGCCTATTT